TTTATGTTGATTTCGCTTTTCATTTCTGATTTATGATTTTTTTCTAATTTCAACCCCCCCTTAAACTCCCATTTTTAATCAGATTATTTCAAAATCAAAGGGCTCCTTCTCCTTATAGAGCTTGATGTTTGCTAAAAATTTCATGTTGATATCGCTTTTTGTTTTTCATTTTTAATTTAGGATTTTTTTTTAATATCAACCCATCCTAACCCGCTATTTTTAAACAGATTTTTTTTCAAAATCAATAGGCTTTATCCCCTTATAGAGCTTGTTTTTTGCTTAAAATTTTTCGTTTTTAACTTATCGCGCAGACAAAAAACATGACATCGGACAAAGTAAACCTATAATACTCTTCGCAGACTACTGTGTGAAGAATATAATAATAATATAATCAAGGCTAAAACAATAACATAATAGACTAAAAAAATAGGTACAATAAAAAAATGATAAAGTCAAAGTTTTGAAAATTATTTAATGGGTAATCAGTGCCTCGGAGGTAAACTGTAGTCATTTTAGTCAACTTTTTAGTAGAGCAGACTGAATGTTGTTTGGACACTTTTGTGTTCCATATTTACATATATCAATTATATTTCGACGAGAAATACAGTTAGCCCCAATTATTGTCGCAATATGTATTGTTTACTAATAATCTTACTATTAAATTTTTTTTTAATATACATGACTTGTTAGTTTTGGTAACAATTTTTCTATGACATATACCTCCAACATGAGTCTATAAATCACAGCTTATTCACTATGTAGTTAATGTCTCTATAAATAGTACGACATAGTTCAGTTTACCTCCCAAGTGCTGATATCAGTAAATATTTAATTAAGTCTTCATGATATAGGTATATACCTAACATAGACACATCTATTTAGTTTCTTGAATTAATTTAGCAAGTGCAATATTTATTTTTTTATATCGTCTTTAAAAAAACTCTAATGTAAGTTTAACTTCCATTTTTTTTATAAATGCATGCGACACCAGTGGCGGTTTGCCCGTAAGGGCACTTGGACACGTGCCCTAGTATAATAAACAAAAAAAATAACTTACATATTTTATATTTTCCTCAATGCCTATTATTATTTTATCTAATATTTAGCGCAACCGCGTTGGCACGACACTGGACGACCGGGCGTTGAGCGACGTTCCGAGAATTCCGAAATTAAGTGGGCACAGTAAATGTGTGGCTCTGTTGTTTTCTCTCTCATTATGATGCGAAAAACAAGGACAACGGCAATATCGCTTAGCAAGAGATGAACACATGCGATGGATTATACGTCACAAACGGGGCGCTGTCCTTCCTCATCGTGACGTGCTGTACCCATGGCACAGATTAAGGTGCGCGTTTGTTGGACCATGATAATAATTTATTTATTGTGATTAGGAAAAAACGTTAGTTGGACCTTTGGAATAGTTAAGAAATAAAACTACAGAGAAAAATAACTTTTTTTATATAAAGCAGTCAAAAATATGGTTTTGGTTTTGTCTGGCTTTTTCGAGGATTTCAAATCTCCATTTTTATATTTAAGAATATAAAAAATTCTGAGTCTTATAAATAATTTAATGGTGTACATTTTCGCAAATTGTTGGCAAGTATGACCAAATTCTATTGGTGTCGCAGTGACACCATTATTCGAGTTAAATCCTAACCTCTACATCAGTCTGACACTGCTTATCAGCAGTACCTCTAGCATTTATAGATAGGACATATTTCTATAACTTCAAATTAATTAGGAACAACCTACAAAATAAAACAATTATCCATACAAAATTGCACTAGGGTCAAGAAATTATCCTTGTTCAAATAAAATATATAATAAAATTGTCATACATGTGAAATACTTTCTGATACAATATACAATAATTGTTCTTGGCTGGCAACTGCAATCTAATGTCTGTTTAAATTTAGGTAGTTTATATCATTGCCATAAGAGCTTATTTCTTAATGGAACTCATTAATCGCTTAATTTTGATGGTTTTCCTATAAAAGAGTCACGATTACATTGTATCCTTTAACGTAGTTTTCTATTTTAGAGTTGGGTACAAAACATAACTTTTTTCTAGAAACTGAAACATACATAGATCTAAAGGTCTAAAAGGTCTAAAAATGTGTAAGAGGTGTTTTATTGTATATTCGTTAATCCGAACAATTCGATAATCCGAACAAGGTCTGACAATTAGGTGTTTGGATTAAAGAGGTTGCACTGTATATTCGTATACAAATATGAAGGTATAAGGTAAATAATAGTAATAATGGCATTACTTCAAAAGAACCGTTGTATTGGGACAGGAAACTACTGTTTTATCTGCTAAAATTTTAAAATACCGATCTTTGCTTAATGAGGCCCGCGCACCTGGTGAAATTCAGTTTTCTTTTCTTGCGTCTACGTTTAAGAGGAATCTCACAACTACTTTCCTCAAAGTGGATAGGGCAACTTCAATTAAGTTTGTCCTTTCTTCGATAAGAATTTTGTAGCATTCGGAAATATCTCCACCGCGCAGACCGGCATTTTAAAAATTAATTTAGTTCTTCCCTGTTATATATAGGAAAATATAAGCACTACTAACACAAAACCAAATAAATTATTAAATTATTTTACACTATTCAATCGAAAAGTGTCAAAATAACTTGAAAGTTCGTCCCGCATTACTTCATGCGCGGTTTGGGCGAATTTTGAATCGAAAGTCAGCATACCATTAGTATGTGTATCATAGTAGACACTATTTTGCTATATGACAAGTGAACCCACTTTGATTCATATTTTGATTAATTTGACGGTAATTATTTTATAATTGAAGATTGACTGAATGAAAATAGTTTTATATCATTTAAGTCATGCTATTAAAAAAATGGTATTTATTCGCACTAAAACTGACTAACTCCACTTGCTCGAGTTTGACATATGACGTAAAAATGGGCGGACACTTTTAGTATCGCCATCCTCTTTATTTTATATCAATGATTGGAAAGTTCATATGACCCGCCCTACTTTGTGACGTCACTGTGTGCTTTGCGCAAATATCTAAGTCATTTTATGTTTGTTTCACGTATTTGTTAACGTGTGGCATCTCTTTTTAGCTTAATACTTTCGAGAACACTTCTCACTCCTTCGGGCTCACTTATAAAAGAGCGCCATGGAAACGCGATTAGCCAGAGCGCAGCGGCGTACCCAAAAATAGATATTAACACGTATTAAAACAATAAAATTATTAAAATTGAATTATTTTTATGTTATTTATTGTATGTGTTTTTATGAAATTTAACTAACTGGGTGTTCACTACACAAATTAACCAATGGAGAAACCGCCCCTGATATATACAATATACATTTTCGGCGTTTATTTCCAGTTTCTTGTATTTTACTCAAAAACTATATGTTTTCATGAAACATTTGCCAAACTTCATATTTTTGCTCCTAGAGCAAACGAACAGTTAACGAACAGCGCCAAAACTGCAAAATTTAATATTTGTTTCTTTTGGCGCGATCTAGCGGTAAAAAATACGAAATTTCCCAAAAAAATTATTTATTATAAGAACACAATCGATGGAAAATCGTTTGTCCTTCAAAAAAGTCTAGTAAAATTTTTAACGAAGACGCATCGTTTGTATATTATGTATATATATCTTCTTCTGATCATTCTCTGTGCATGGTGAAATTTTGTCAAAAGAAGTCAAAACCTTCATTGATCTGGGTCTCTTTGCTATACTAAAAATTTTCGTTTCAGGGCAACTTTTTGTCTAATTCCCATGGACTATATAGGTATAGATAAGTGTTTCTGGGATAAAACGGCCAACGGCTAAAATGACCACATAGAGCTCCGAGGAGTCCAGCTCGCCGACGTATCCTATCGAGGGTATGTTGAATTGAAGGTGTGAGTGAATCTCACTTCCAGGTAGTCAACTTCAATCTGGTTTACGAGCCTGACTCCTAAGAAATCAATGTTTACGTCAAAGAGTTTTCGGTAGTTAGAGTGTTTAAAGACGGTGAATTGGGTTTTTTTGAGGATTGAGTGAGACTCACCATCTGCCGCACTAGCAAGTATACTGACCCAGAAGATTTTGGGTTCGGATTCTTAGTTGCTCTGAATTTTGGACTACTGAGAGCAGAGAGTATCATCGGCGTACAGAAGGCATTGGCTTGACCAGAGAGGCTAGCCGCGAGATTAGTGTGCATCTATATACTCGTAACAGTTAAGCAGTGATCTCTTAGGTCACGTCATGGATGCCTGACCTCTGGGAGGTTCCACCATGGGCCGTGTCACTATGGGACTTAGCCGACTAGTATTTAACTATCGAAGACGTGGAATGCATGACGATGAATGAGGGAGTGAATTGGTGAATAGGAGAGTAGTAGAACATTCAAATAGTGGTACAATAAGCCGAAGGCTGCAGTGCCACCAAGCTACAGATGGAGTAGGGTGATAGCATGGGGGTTCCGAAGGGTATAAAACAAAGAAAACACTACCTCTGCTTGAGGGGTGAATGGATAAGACTGCACATTGCCTACTTTTACCGTGATGGTTCTGTCTATGAAAGACTTTGATGATACTGGTGTAGAGACCCATGTTTCTTGTTGATCAAAAGCTTGTTTTAACGCTAAGAAGAACATCTGAGGAGTTTTAATTGGAATTCACTGATATGACAGCAGTGGTGTGAAGCAAAGTGAGAACGTTCTGAAGCGATGGGGTCTATTAAAGTTGATCTATTTGGACCCTGATCAGGGCGTTCAGACGGTTACATTCAGTTTTGGTGACAGGGTTATGTATACGGACGTATTATCTATCCAATCGGCGTTTTTGGGAATAGCGATTGAAGGGCTTTTGGGAAGTATTGATGGAAGTCATAGGGGCCGATATTTCGTTGTGTCTTGTACTTCGATAACCATCAGCATTAAGCATGGAAACTGCATTATAGACTTTTTTTAAAGAGATATAAATGTTAACATATTATTTATTATTATCAGTTGTTATTTCTTTATTAACATTTTTTTAGGCAAATCAAGACAAACTTCAACCTTGAACATCAGCAATGAATATACCAGTGGTGAAAGACCAATCTTATTAGAACAACTTCAGCTGTTAAGAAGACAACAAGAGTTAGAAATGAGTAAATGTAAGACTTCATTTTGCTTTTCAATTTAGGTACCAATGAGGGAACTGCATATATCTGTCGATAAAGCTGCAAATAATGGTTTAAATAATTTTAACAAAATACTAATAGTTTAATTCTTGGATTGTATGCAGGGCAGTAACGACATCTATCAAAAAATCTGATAAAGTTGCAATATCTTTAAAAGGAAAATTATTTTCTTTATACGAAAAATTTTAAATATTTTTTCAAGAAATTATTTGAGATGCTCGAGAACTCTCCGACGAAATTGACATACCGGCTAATTTTGAGTTTACCTAGCCACGTCATAGAGTTCGAAGAAGGAATATTAATTTTGATTATGAGGCCCAAGATGATTCGATAAAAGATCCTACTTTGAAATATAAGGCTGAGTTTTATTGTTTCACATTAGACCAAACTATTAATCAGTACCCACGCAACTAAGAGTTTTTATACAATATTTATGATTAAAAAGACAACCCTTTAAACGACTTACTAAATTATTGTAAAGGTCTAGAAATAGTGTTAGTGGGAATTTATCAGATTTTAATCACGCTGGATCTGGTATCGGCTTTAGCCTTTGTAAATAAAAAAGAAAGTCCAATCTATATTTTAAAATTCATTTCAAAGCCGGATTTTGCTCCAAATCTTGGTATAGTTTTAAGAATCTTCCCAACTCTCCCATTGAGTGTGGCAAGTAGAGAAAGAAGTATCTCCATATTAAAGTTAATTAAAATTTTTTACGTTCTACAACTACCGAGGATCAGCTAAATGGCTTGAAAACATTAGCCATTGAACATGAGCTAGTTGAAGAAATTGATGTCAAAAAAATTAATCAAAAAAAGTGAGAAAAAACACTTTTAAGTAAATGCATTTTAATGATTAAGTTTTTATTTTTAGTGGTTCTATAATTTATTTTACTATATTTTTAATATAGGCATTTTAAAATTATACAGGGTGTCCGGAAAGTCAACGATAATACTGAAAGGGGTGATGGACCAACTCATAAGCTTTCAGAAAAACATAATATGACCTCAGTAAAAAATCAATGGTTTTCGAGATATTGCCACTTTAATAAATTTCGTTAAAATCGTCCCCTTAGATCAGATTTTCGAGTGTCACTCCTAAAAAAATGTATAATTCTTAGATTCTGATTTAGGTTTTGCAACTGTGAATAGCCATTTCATTAAACAAAGACCAACATTGAACCAAAAGTTCAAAATGTTCAATAAGAAATCTTATTTTACAGAGAAATAATTTATTTTTATTTTCCATCACTCAAGTTTAACACCTCATACCGTACAAAAAAAAGGTCTACACTAACCTGGCTAGTGATTTGAAAAGTTTGCTCATTTAATGTACTTTTAAAAACTACCCATTGTTCTAATAAACAGTTTACTGTTATTGACTTACAGTGAAGGATATACCTAATTTACCTTGTGGAACATTCTAAAAATTAAACAAAACTAAATCATGTCAAAAAATGTATTTAACTTAAGAAAAATAAAAAATCATTTATGTTCAAAGTGACCACCACCAATGCAAAAGGCCCTCTTTATCCATCTTGCATTTCTTGCCAAGTTTATCTCTTGGGCTGCGTCAGTTATTCGCTGACGTAATTCATCAATATTACTTATTGGTCTTGCATAAACCTTTTCTTTTATGCAACCCCAGTAAAAAAAATCTAGGGGGTTTAGGTCTGGAGACCTGGGGGGCCATAAAATTGGACCAAGTCGGCCGATCCATCTGTGGGGGTAGGTTTGATTTAAATACGCACGAACTTGATGTGCATAATGTGCCGAGCAGTCATCATATTGAAACCACATATTCTTTGGCGTGCGGCCAAAGAAACATCTTCCAAAAGAAGCGGTAGGTGTTTGACAAAAATGTAAATAAGCTTGCCAGTTTAGATTTTCTGGTAATTCGAATGGACCAATTACATGTCCGTTTAGGATACCAGTCCACAGGTTTACTTTGAAACGGTACTGGGACCTTTCTTCTCGAATGGAGTGGGGATTTTCCAACGCATAAGAATGCAAATTGTGCATGTTCATAAAGCCATCCTTTTTAAATGTACTCTCATCCGACCACAGTACATTGTTTATAAAGTTGGGGTCCTCTTTATTTTTTGCAACATTCTGCGGCAAAACCGTAGGTACGCATTGTTCGTAGTCCCGAGGCAACAGGGCTTGTACACGTTGCACGTGATATGGGTGATATTGATATCTCCTAGTGATCTCGTTTACTGTCGATTTGGGTATCCCTGTTCGTTTTTCTATTGTTCGCGCCGAAGTAGTCGGATCGTTTTCAATTTCTTCTAAAACTTGGATCATCGTAATCAATGCGAACGGGAGCCTGAGGAATCCTACCCTCCGAATATGCGCGATGAACATTGATAAACACACGATAATCAGGATATCGTGCCAAATTTGGATCTTTCCCAATAAAGGTTAGCTGCTGCTAGACCATTTCCTCTGCATTCTCCATAAATGAGATGCATGTTTTCATACTCCTGGGCGGTATACGGCAGAGGCATATTAAACAGTTCAATCACCAACACAAATAGTTCAATCAACACAAAGTCCACAGGAAAGTCAGGTCACTTCATTTGATCTTCCAATACAATCAAATCCAAATCAAAAGGTAACATACAAGTCCAGATACTTACAAGCAAAATTTATTGACAGTACAGTAACAAAATAACAACAAAAATGTTTTTTGTTTGTTGCTATGGCGATAACACTTGTTTCATGGTCTCCTAGTCTAGGCTGTTGATTTTTGTTTAATTTTTGGTAAGAGAAATAAAACTTTTTTTTAACATGATTTAATTAATGTTATTAATGTTCTCATAAGGTAAATTAGTAATATCCTTCACTGTAAGTCAATAACAGTAAACTGTTCATTAGAACAATGGGCAGTTTTTAAAAGTACATTAAATGAGCAAACTTTTCAAATCACTAGCCAGGTTAGTGGACCTTTTTACTTTCCTATCTGTATACAGATATAAGGAAAGTATAGGAATCATGATTTTTTTGTGTGTGTGTGTGTGTGTGTGTGTGTGTGTGTGTGTGTGTGTGTGTGTGTGTGTGTGTGTGTGTGTGTGTGTGTGTGTGTGTGTGTGTGTGTGTGTGTGTGTGTGTGTGTGTGTGTGTGTGTGTGTGTGTGTGTGTGTGTGTGTGTGTGTGTGTGTGTGTGTGTGTGTGTGTGTGTGTGTGTGTGTGTGTGTGTGTGTGTGTGTGTGTGTGTGTGTGTGTGTGTGTGTGTGTGTGTGTGTGTGTGTGTGTGTGTGTGTGTGTGTGTGTGTGTGTGTGTGTGTGTGTGTGTGTGTGTGTGTGTGTGTGTGTGTGTGTGTGTGTGTGTGTGTGTGTGTGTGTGTGTGTGTGTGTGTGTGTGTGTGTGTGTGTGTGTGTGTGTGTGTGTGTGTGTGTGTGTGTGTGTGTGTGTGTGTGTGTGTGTGTGTGTGTGTGTGTGTGTGTGTGTGTGTGTGTGTGTGTGTGTGTGTGTGTGTGTGTGTGTGTGTGTGTGTGTGTGTGTGTGTGTGTGTGTGTGTGTGTGTGTGTGTGTGTGTGTGTGTGTGTGTGTGTGTGTGTGTGTGTGTGTGTGTGTGTGTGTGTGTGTGTGTGTGTGTGTGTGTGTGTGTGTGTGTGTGTGTGTGTGTGTGTGTGTGTGTGTGTGTGTGTGTGTGTGTGTGTGTGTGTGTGTGTGTGTGTGTGTGTGTGTGTGTGTGTGTGTGTGTGTGTGTGTGTGTGTGTGTGTGTGTGTGTGTGTGTGTGTGTGTGTGTGTGTGTGTGTGTGTGTGTGTGTGTGTGTGTGTGTGTGTGTGTGTGTGTGTGTGTGTGTGTGTGTGTGTGTGTGTGTGTGTGTGTGTGTGTGTGTGTGTGTGTGTGTGTGTGTGTGTGTGTGTGTGTGTGTGTGTGTGTGTGTGTGTGTGTGTGTGTGTGTGTGTGTGTGTGTGTGTGTGTGTGTGTGTGTGTGTGTGTGTGTGTGTGTGTGTGTGTGTGTGTGTGTGTGTGTGTGTGTGTGTGTGTGTGTGTGTGTGTGTGTGTGTGTGTGTGTGTGTGTGTGTGTGTGTGTGTGTGTGTGTGTGTGTGTGTGTGTGTGTGTGTGTGTGTGTGTGTGTGTGTGTGTGTGTGTGTGTGTGTGTGTGTGTGTGTGTGTGTGTGTGTGTGTGTGTGTGTGTGTGTGTGTGTGTGTGTGTGTGTGTGTGTGTGTGTGTGTGTGTGTGTGTGTGTGTGTGTGTGTGTGTGTGTGTGTGTGTGTGTGTGTGTGTGTGTGTGTGTGTGTGTGTGTGTGTGTGTGTGTGTGTGTGTGTGTGTGTGTGTGTGTGTGTGTGTGTGTGTGTGTGTGTGTGTGTGTGTGTGTGTGTGTGTGTGTGTGTGTGTGTGTGTGTGTGTGTGTGTGTGTGTGTGTGTGTGTGTGTGTGTGTGTGTGTGTGTGTGTGTGTGTGTGTGTGTGTGTGTGTGTGTGTGTGTGTGTGTGTGTGTGTGTGTGTGTGTGTGTGTGTGTGTGTGTGTGTGTGTGTGTGTGTGTGTGTGTGTGTGTGTCTGTATAACGCATAACTCATGAACCGATACATAGAAAAACACCAAATTTTAAACTTAAGCTTTGTTTCAACGTCCAATGAGCTGATTAGATTTTGGACAAAGTCGGAACATCTGGGGGGGTACTTTATAGGTGGTCATTTTTATATTTTATGGAATATATCTGTTATTTACGTTTGGAGAAGAAAATTCTTCAAATAAAAGTTACTTCTAATATAATTATCTATAATTTTTGTTTTATGCAAAATTTTCCTAAAATGGTCCGTATTCGAGAAATTTGACAAAATGTAAAAAAAATAATTTTTTATAAAAATTGTTTAAATAAAAGTTGTTTGTAATATAATTCTCTATAATTTTTATTATATACATAATTTCTCTAAAATGGACCGTATTCGAGATATTTGAGAAAATGTGTAAATTTCGAATTTTGAAGAAAACTCAAAAACGGATAAAGAAAAAAACATTAAATTTTAAACTTAAGGATTATTTCGGCCTGACGTAAAATGATTAGATTTTGGACAAAGTCGGAACATCTGGGGGGGTACTTTATGGGAGGCCGTTTTTATATTTTATGGAATATATCTGTTATTAATGTTTGGAGAAAAAAATTGTTCAAATAAAAGTTACTTCTAATATTATTATCTATAATTTTTGTTTTATGTAAAAATTTCCTGAAATGGTCCGTATTCGAGAAATTTGACAAAATGTGCAAAATTCTGATTTTTATGAAAGTTTTTGAAATAAAAGTTGTTTGCGATATCGATCTCTACAATTTTTGTTTATACATGATTTTTCTAAAATGGACCGTAATGAAAAAATTGTAGGAAATTTAAATTTTTCAGTATTTTCGTTTTCCATGAATATCTATAGAAAAATGTTTCAAGGTAGATGTATGTGGACAATGTATATATTTAGTTTATACTCTAAACATTTATAGAGATGCTGCAATAGGTTGTACAAAATAACCGGAAAAGCCTATAATATCTAGATAGGAAAGTCATGTGTTGGACACATCAGATTTTTACTTTCCTATCTGTATACAGATATAAGGAAAGTATAGGAATCATGATTTTTTTCGACCTCGAGTTTTCGACGGATTTTTACGTTTTGAGGTCCCCTGAATCCGTTTTGACTATTTTCGCGATGATGTCTGTCTGTCTGTGTGTGTGTGTGTGTGTGTGTGTGTGTGTGTGTGTGTGTGTGTGTGTGTGTGTGTGTGTCTGTGTGTCTGTGTGTGTGTCTGTATAACGCATAACTCATGAACCGATACACAAAAAACACCAAATTTTAAACTTAAGCTTTGTTTCAGCGTCCAATGAGCTGATTAGATTTTGGGCAGAGTCGGAACATCTGGGGGGGTACTTTATAGGTGGTCATTTTTATATTTTATGGAATATATCTGTTATTTACGTTTGGAGAAGAAAATTCTTCAAATAAAAGTTACTTCTAATATAATTATCTATAATTTTTGTTTTATGCAAAATTTTCCTAAAATGGTCCGTATTCGAGAAATTTGAGAAAATGTAAAAAAAATAATTTTTTATAAAAATTGTTCAAATAAAAGTTGTTTGTAATATAATTTTCTATAATTTTTGTCCTATACATAATTTCTCTAAAATGGACCGTATTCGAGATATTTGAGAAAATGTGTAAATTTTGAAATTTGAAGAAAACTCAAAAACGGATAAAGGAAAAAACATTAAATTTTAAACTTAAGGTTTATTTCGGCCTGACGTGAAATGATTAGATTTTGGACAAAGTCGGAACATCTGGGGGGGTACTTTATGGGAGGCCGTTTTTATATTTTATGGAATATATCTGTTATTTATGTTTGGAGAAGAAAATTGTTCAAATAAAAGTTACTTCTAATATTATTATCTATAATTTTTGTTCTATGTCAAAATTTCCTGAAATGGTCCGTATTCGAGAAATTTGACAAAATGTGCAAAATTCTGATTTTTATGAAAATTGTTGAACTAAAAGTTGTTTGCGATATCGATTTCTATAATTTTTGTTTATATATGGTTTTTCTAAAATGGACCGTAATGGAAAAGTGCTAAATTTAAATTTTTCTGTATTTTCGTTTTCAATGAATATCAATAGAAAAATGTTTCGAGGTAGATGTATGTGGAAAATGTATATATTTAGTTTATCCTCTAAACATTTATAGAGATGCTGCAATAGGTTGTACAAAATAACCGGAAAATGCCTATAATAACTAGATAGGAAAGGCATGTGTTGGACACATCAGATTTTTTTGTACAGTATGAGGTGTTAAATTTGAGTGATGGAAAATAAAAATAAATTATTTCTCTGAAAAATAAGAACTCTTATTGAATATTTTAAACTTTTGGTTCAATGTTGGTCTTTGTTTAATGAAATGGCTATTCACAGTTGCAAAACCTAAATCAGAATCTAAGAATTATACATTTTTTTAGGAGTGACACTCGAAAATCTGATCTAAGGGGACGATTTTAAAGAATTTTATTAAAGTGGCAATAACTCGAAAACCATCGATTTTTTACTAAGATCATATTATGTTTTTCTGGAAGCTTATGAGTTGGTCCATCATTCCTTTCAGTATTATCGTTGACTTTCCGGACATCCTGTATATTAGATTTGTGCCTTTTTTACAACCACAATTTCGATTTAGTTCCAAAATCGTAAAGCAAAAGTTTTTATTTTTGGCAAATCAAAACTTCAACATATTTAACAATTGCTTTGATCAGGTTTTATTTTACTACTAAGGAGGAAAGGTTTTAGATTCTTTTAGTTTTTTTATAAAAAGGCAGCATTTTACCTTTTTGCCTGGGCGGCTAAACTGCTAGCGCCGGCCTTGCAGCTAAGACAAGTCTTTTCCTTTGTGTTCAATCACTTGAAATACCTTACAAATTAGGAAACAATTTTTTTTTTAATTTCGCTTTATGAATTCACTGATTGGATTACAATAAGATAGGTAGATATAAATTGTAGAAAATATTTATAGGTATATAAAAAAATAACGGTAATAAGCGTGACGCACTATTTTCCATAGTCCATTTAATGAAATCTAAATATTTGTCCACTCTTGTATAAAAATTCGGATTTCCGGGTGTACACCCTTGAAAGGTAAAAGACACTATACCACATTGAAAATCACCGCACATGAGTGGACCTCCAGAGTCACCAAAACAAAAACTTTTTGTGCTCTCAATTGTACACATTTCAGTAATCGGTCTTGTAGCTAAAAATCTAGAAAACTTTGTACACTCCGCATGTGATTTTATTGTCAAGTCTGCGCACATTAAATGTTCGGGAAATTTGAGGAATTTTGTGACACAAATTAGACCCCATCCTAATAATAAACCAGCTTCGTAGATATCAGATACATCTCCTTCGATAACATGGGGGGGAAGTTTCACAAACTGAATGGTTTTACTTTTACGCATCGGTGAGTCTAACCTCAACAACGCTATATCATTATGCAAAAACCTATGGGATTCTTTCATGCTAAAATTTGGATGCATGTAATAATTTCTTATTCTATAAAATGCACCCCATTCTTTATCATCCTTCCTAACTGCATCAACGACATATATAGGCCATAAACCAACGTTATACGTACAATGCGCTGCAGTCAAAATCCAATTCTGAGTAAGCAAACTACCTCCACAGCTAAAGAAACGCCCACGATATACGGCTACAACGAAATTGATGTTTATTTTAGGATTTTTTCGACATTCATTCCCGTTAATAATACGTGGCTCATTTAATTTGTTCGCTGATTGAGTGTTACAAACATTTATGTATAATAGGATCAACGCTTTAATATAGAAAATGTACACAATCATAAAGATTCAATTTTATGACAATTTAGGTCGTTCAAAATCTGAAAAATGCCAATTTTTTAAGTGGATCTTATTCTTATAGTGGATTTTATTTGTTGCACTAGTGTCACATTCGACACTGTATTCGAACTGTCATACTTGTCATAAGTATATGCTACACGTGTGCTACAGTCAAATATTTGAAGCTAATCGCTCCGTGCGCGACAGCAGCGCCAAATTGTTTTGGTATTAAAGGACTATTTCTGCCTATACTGACAAATACAATTTTTAATAGAATTCGTAAATAAAAAGTATATATGTTAGTTTTAATAAAAGTATATGGATTTATAAAACAATTAAAACATTACTTTATTATTATTATATATTTTTCACGCTTAAATTGAAGAAAATTATGTATAATCATTCAAAATCGATAATAAAATATAGGCAGGCAACAGTATTTACTGGAAAATGTATGAGAAGTTGCCTAAGTCTAATAAGTTGTCATTGAAGAAGCCATTTATAATAGCGTGAACTTAAAATGTATAAAAAGGATCGCTACTTATATTTTCATTTTTGTTCTAAAGAAAACAGAATGAATGATTAAAACTGGTTTCCGATCAGTAAGTCACAAAATTGCATACCAGCCAAATATTATAATCAACGGCAGAAATCTTGAAATCTAGTCCTTGCTGAATGAACATTTAAGAATAAAGGGATATTAAAGAACATCGTAAAATGATAATTTGTTTATTTAAAAACTTTCTAGTTTCTGATGTCTACTATTTCCAGCATTACTGTTATTATCACAAAAATAAAGGTAATTTTTCTTCTTATTGTACACCTATCCATTTATTTCTTTGATTTAATTTCCACTTTGTTAGTGAAATTTGTTATATAAGTTTCACTGTTTTTTTTGTTAGTATTTGTACAATTTTCAACACAGCAACTCCGGTTACTTATTGTGTTGTTTTTACCTACGTTTTTGAAAAAAAGTAAAATGTATACGTGTATTTGATATGCCAAAATTACAAAATATCCCCCTAAAATGCACGAATTATCCGCAGCTAGCGCTAGTATCGCTTTTGCTTCCCTTTCCATGACTTCGCACGGAGCGAATACTGAACAAATCAAATGCGATTAGTGCAGAAAACTTACAACTAGTGCAACAAATAATATCCACTATTAGTGTGTGCCATATTTCCAATAGGAAACGTACATGACAAAGTCGGCCATTTTGGTTAACGATTTATTGATTGTTCATTTAAAAGTCAGTTTTTGTAATTACTCGTATTGTGCAAGTTAAAAATATTATTTTAGTTCAATAATATATAATCTTAATGCAATAAATATAGTGATAAATGCATTGGTTACTTGTAGTGCTCAAAGACTGCTAAAAACAACTTTTTGAAAATTACTTCTCATCGTAACACCAATCATTTTGTAGGTCTAATATTAAATTTTAATTAATGCGTCATAGTTGTTTTTAACCTAAAACTGCCATTTACAAGGGCACACTTTCCTTTTTATGCTAATAAGTTATAGGTACCTAGTTATGGTTTGGTTCATCTTTTTACTGATATTAAGTTCATAATCAACTCTTTTTAGATTAGCAAGTCCATTGAGCTCTTTTTAATTTTACACATACGATATAAAAACAACTATTTTACCAGAAACTTAAATATTATGTTTATTGTTAATTTATCATTTTCAGAAATAATGTAAAGTGTAAAAGTTACAATGATCAATTTATGATTTGCTGTACTAACTATAATTAATATTATTAATAATAATAATAATAATAATAATAATAATAGTAATAGTAAATAATTAACAAACTTAAAATATCAAAAAGTATTGATCATTTTCGTTGCATTTTCAGTTTTTCACTTGATGAAAATAAAAGAAGGGAATAGGCCAAGATAATAAACAAGGATGACTGGAATCCTGAAAAAAAAAACAGTAAATATAAATTGAATTTCATTTCATTTTAAAAGTTCATTATATTGTTTAGTTATTGCAACTTTACTGCGCTTAAGTACCGTTCAGATTAAAATTTGAATTGATTTATGGAGCTTAACTAAAAAACAGGAACAAATTCTTTCATGCAAAAGAAAAAGTATTATGGTCAATAAAAGTAATTTCGAACTGTGATATCTTCAAGCCCTTATTTAAAACCTTCAAATATTAATATTATCATTATACAAGAGTTATCTTTACACATTGTTGCATATACTGCACATAAGTTTGTTGAAATAAACATTATTTTTATAATATAAATAAATATATCTCTGTTAAAGAATGGTCATATTTTATTTAATATAACTTTTGCTATATAACTTCTTATATCCGACATTGTTAGATAAAAAAAAATTTATTACGGATCACTTTTTTCTTTCAATTCATCTGTAGTTTTTGCCCAAATGGATACAAAATTTTAACCGTGCAACTTACAACTTGGCTGCTATAGCCATGATAACAATACGGGTTTTTATAAATTTGTTCCAGAAGCTGTACCTAGGTGGTTCATTATAACAGATTATTCAAACAACAAAAATAATTTTTGTTAAAATATAAATAATATGCTGAAACATTATATCTGATCGTTACATATTATAAAAGCAAAGTACCTTTTCATTAAACTAACCCACTCATGGCTACCCGAAGTTTGAATATTATAAATCTGCTTGAATATAAAAAAACAACAGGTATTGGTAAACTATATACGCTTTTCTACTCTTAGACAATCAATTATTATAAAATACATATTATTTTGAGCTATTGTGGAATATTTTTCGGTTCCTTTGTCTCAACTTCGCGCGTTAGAATATGTATCTCTCGTATTTACATACAATTGTTAAAATTATGAATGAATGCTGATTTTAGTCTCGGAAGTAATTTTGTAGTATTTAGACTCCACCCTTAATTTGTAATTTTTATACCTACTAAACTACGGTTGCGACGCAGTTATTTCAGTTTGTAATTTAAATTTTCCTCTTAACCTAGTTTGGCTCTGACACACAGATATACTACTAATACATATACATACCTATATAAATTTATCCAGCATTTCAAAATAAATTACCTACTTATCTATAAAAAAATACGTTATTTACTTACCTATTACCAATTTGGTAGAAAATTTAAACTACAATACACGACCGTTTCCAGTAAATAGACTCGAGTTTCAAAATACGTCGAAACCTTTTGATGTTACCGCTTCCGAGCTTGACTCTAGAAACAAAACTCTTCCAACTGTCGCAAAACACGTCAGTCTTGAAAAAGTTTGCGAACAATTGCAGTTTTGTTTTTTTTTTCTACAAGATTTTGTGTTTTGTTTTTGTTTTCTCCGTTTAGTGGAGAACAGCCAATAGATTTTTCAGATACGCTGTACGGTACTATCCTTACACTGAAAGTAGCAAAACCGGAGGACAAAAAATGCTTGCAAAGTAATTTTTTTATTTTGTAATAGACGCCTAGAAGCCTATCAAGCGCATAGCTAGGTTGTTTTCTTGGGGGGTAACACTTTTCACATTATTGGTGAATGCGCAGCGTGTTATCTTAGAATATGGTACCAATACAACGTCTAGAATTCATATATGTATTTCCAGAAAAAAGATGAGTTTTTTATGATGTTTTTAGTTTTTTATATATTTATACAGAGTCTTTCAGAATAAAGTACCGTAATTTTGGGGATTTGTAGATCTTAATCAATTATAAAGAAAAGCTGAATATAATTTTCCTATAAACGTCTCAGTTTTCATTCTACAGGGTGATAAAGTGAATTTCATAAATACATTTTTTCTAAATATCTTCCCTTACAGTAAAGACTTTAACATAAAAATATGTATATGATAGGTAATCGCTATTATTAGTTAACACACTATTTAGATAAATTACCATAACCCATTGGTGTAGAATGAAGAGCTAAAGAAACAATTTTATTCAATACTTTTTGAACACCCTACATTTCATAAAACTTAAGATTAATAAATATTTCTCACTCCATTTGTCACAAAAAAGGGACTTCTGGTTGATCTTTGTAGACTATTCCATTTCCGAGGTGATAGAACTGATTTATTTTATACAGAGTGTTTTGAAACATGTCTTAAATATGGCTAATTTTAAGTTCAATTTACTCAATTTTGTCAAATGCAACACACTGTATATTATTTTCGCATAAAATTCCTTATAAATGTACCTATCCAACGATACCAACATGTCCCAATAGTGCGTAATTGATCGATAGCTGTCTTATTATTGGAAATTGTTTAATAAATATTCTTAAATATACAGGGTGGTCCATAAACGAGGGGCTGACTAAACTTATACATTTTTAATTTATTTTCACATCGTCAAACAACTTTAATAGACTTCATTTATTTGCTATGTTATATATAGGGTGTTTCAAAATGAGGGGTAACGATTTTCTCATTTTTTTAAATGGAATTACCCTATATGTCATACCACCAATTAATTAATACAAGGTATCCCATTAAAAATATTGAGAAAATCGTAACCTTACGTTTTGACACACTCTATATACAACATAGCAAATGAATGAAGTCAATTAAAATTGTTTGACGATGTAAAGACAATCAAATATGTATTACTACCTGCAGGGTATTTTGCTTTAAAAAGTATAGATTTGGTCAGCACCTCGTTTATGTACCACTCTGTATATTTAAGAATATTTGTTAAATATGGTCATACAACTTTTATATTAAACCTTTCTTCATATTTCTAATAATAAAACAGCTATCGATCAATTATGCACTGATGAGACACCCTGTATATGTGTTATTGACTAACACATTGGTATTGTTACATGGGCAAATTTATAGGGAATTTTATACCAAGATAATATACAGTGTGTTGCGTTTGAAAAAATTGAGTAAATTTAACTTAATTAGCCATATTTAAGACGTCTCAAAACACTCTGAAGAGAATAAACCAGTTGTATCACCTCTATTCGTTAGCTTAGTATTTTATAAGTATGTATATTAAACAATTTTGAAATTAATGTAAACCTACCTAAATTATGGTAATTAAATTTGAGGTCTGCATCATTCTCTAGTTTTAAAAAAAAATTGTTTGGCAATACTGTAATATTTTTTAAAAACATTCTAGGGTAAAATACAGTATTTCCAAGCCATTCTATAAATAAAATATACATTATTGTCAGGCAAAAACGCAACACCCTGTATAACCAAAAATATTTTTAAAATATGTATTTTTCAAATCCATATAAGTTTTATTAAAACTTGTTTGTTTGTCAATAACATTATTTGAAATATTGAACAATTACAAACTAATGTATATAAATTTTAATTTTCAATTTGCAGGAATATTATTATTTTAGATGACAATGTTTGAGAAACTCTTTGTTTTATTGTATTTATTTTATCTCTCTATTTTTGTAATATAACGTTTAAAAAAATATTGATGTTGACTATGGCTTGGGGGGGGGGTAATTACCCCCATTACCCCCCCTTATCTACGCCCTTGAAGCCTATTATTTTATGGCCAGCAAAAAACGAAAAACTTCAAGCTTACTTTGAATTTGACAGGTTACACGACAACTCTATTCACTCCCTTTCCCAAAATTTTATATGCAACCTGGAACCTGACAACTTTGCTATTTTCCAGACATAATTTTTCATATAAAGTGTTTTGTTAACCTATAAAATTAAATTTTTTAGTTACATTTTTACTTGAAAAATAGTGTTTTTTCTTATTTTTTTACGAAAAATTACTATAGAAACAACAGTAGAAACTAGTTACCTATTTTTTAGTCTTTAAAAAATGTTTGTGAAATTCGCACATCCTCATTCCTCGTTAATAACGCCACCTCAGTTATCTCAATAGTCATAAACTTTGCTTTGCTGAGCACTTTTTTTTATTTTTTAGGGCAACGACAACGAAACCAGTGTAATTCCCCGGTTGACAAGAAGTACCAACGACATCCCCTTGAAACGAAAAGCACCGAGCAGCTTTCCAATTCCGATTTAAAGAAGATAGTACTGCTGGAGGAATTAAAACTGATCCGACTTAAAATTAAATTAGAATCTGATTTTAAATAAAATTTTAAATACTATTTATACTGCCTTTTGTTTCTCAGAAAAAATAGAGATGTATAAATGTTTTATAAAAAAAATCACCGATTTTATACTGTCGCTGGGCTTTTTTGAATGCAGAAAACTTCAACTTACCAAAAGTGGCTCCACGGAGAGGGCCATGGAACCATGTCTCCCACCTCAAGATTTAACAATTCATGAGCATTTTATTAAAATAAAGATTTGCTAAAAAACGGGAATAGACGTTAATATTGACTGCACCACAAAATGAAAAATTGTACTGTCCGATATATGAAAAGCTTAAATAAAAACTTGTTTATGACCGATTCAAAACCTAAGAACTCTTATTTATATTAAATTATTAAGTGTACACTACCATTGTATAAAAAACTAACACTATCATTTAAATGCTCTTAAGTTCTATTAATAACGGTTTGCTTTTATCTTTGCAACTTACAATAAACACGTACTTACTGTTTTAAAATGTAAAAAAATACAAAAAAGGGTTTGTTTTCTAGAATTTGTGATTGAAGATTTTTTCTTTGGGGTAGCTTTTCTGCACTATATAATTTAAAAGTATTGTAGATAAATAATGAATATTTTTTCAATGGGAGAACCACAACAAAACGCCCTATAAAAACTGGTTTAGGCGTACTTATAAACAAATCCAGTATACATTTTTATTAATTGCAGTAATCAGGGCCGCCGAGAGCCAGACAGGGCCCCAGGACAATTCTCTAGAAAAAATTCACCAAAAACTGATCAATAGAATTCTTTTTTCTAAAAAAAGGTCCTCACATCAAAAAACTATTCTCCCCTAAAAAAAAAACTCACTCGAAAAAAAAATCTCTACGCTACAACTTTTCCTGTACTTGTATTTCATTTTAATTTAAACTTAACTTCCCTCTATCATCTTGTGTCGAATTTCTCTTGCAGAACAAACAAAAACCTATTGTCGGGCCCCCCTTACAGCACTGCCGGATCCCCTTTTTAGCCCGGTCCCCGGGAATTAGTCCCGGCTACCCCCCCCCCTCTAGTCGGCCCTGGCAGTAATAGGAACCTATACGCGGTGTCCCGTAATGATTTTCCATTATTTTAATATCGTATTCTACCAATAATTTAAAGGAAGGTTATCTTATAAAATTTTGCAATTTGCATTCTCTCTGTCGAGATATTTATGATAATAAATATTTCTAGTGCTCTATTATTATTAGGTGTAGGTATTATTAGGTATAATATAATTTATCTAAACAACAAAAAAAACTGATAAGTTGTGTAGGTTGATCATTTTTAAAGAAAATAAATATATCGTATACATATTGTTATGATATTCCTAATACGACCCTGTGCCTGTGTACGCACGCGGCCTTCACATGACAACCAACTCGCGATCGAAGCAATGCTGACGTGTGGAAACAATTGGACCGTTTCTCGAATGTACGGGATTCCTGCCGTTGCGGCTAGAAGCATCTGGAATGGCGGGGGAGTACCGTTTAGTCATCTTCGCGAATTCTCTGGCATTTTCCAGTAGCGGAGTTGGATTTATATAAATAGTCGACGATCAGCGCCGAGTTTAGTTTAATATAGAACGTTGTATTGAATAGTAAAAGTGTAAGAAATAAATTAGAATTGTTAGTTAGTGTGCAAATATTATTAGTACGTCTGAAATAAATTGTAAATAGTGTGTTTTTAAATAAATAAACTTTAAATAAATTAGACTTTCGTCACATTGGTGTCAAGAAGTGGAATAGTGTAAATAAATAGTGGACAATAATGGCTAAAAGACTGTTTGATTTAAAAGTGCCTGAGCTACGTCGAGAATTAGAAGAACGTGAACTGGAGACGGCAGGGAAGAAATTAGAGCTGGCAGAACGACTTAAAAAAGCACTAGAAAATGAAGGTTTGGATCCGGAAACGTTTTTATTTTCGGATGATGCATCTGCTATAATTTCTTCAATTTCTTCCGATATGGAAAGTAAAATGTCTTCCATGAAAACCGATATTTCCTCTAATATGTCTTCTTTAAAAACCGAAATTTCATTCGATTTTGAAACTAAAATGTCTTCCATAGAAAATAAAATTTCTTCTGATGTTTCTTCTATAAAAAGTGACATTTCCTGCTTAGAAACTAAAGTTTCTTACGATATATCTTCCTTGGATGATAAAGTTTCTTCTTTAAAAGATGAAATCTCTTCTGATATGACTTCCATGAAAAACGAAATTTCTGCTGATGTGGAAAATAAGATGACTTGAAGAGAAAATAAAAGAGATGGAAAAGAAGATAAAAGAACTGGAACATTCAGACCCGACCAAGGACGGTGAAATAAAGTATCATGAGGTGGAGTCGAAGTTAAAACTGGAAGGAGCTGTAAACTCTGCTCGTGTCAAAGCCCCAACTTTCGACGGAAAGATGTCATGGACGAACTACCTTAAGCAGTTCGAAACAGCTGCCAGAGCAAACGAGTGGTCTGAGAGAGAAAAGGCAGTGAATCTGACAATCGCCCTTCGAGGAGACGCTTTAGATGTCCTTCAGACTATACCCGTGGAAGAGACAGATGATTTTGAACAACTGAAAAAGAGACTCAACATGCGATATGGCCACGAACATTTGGAGCATCTATACCAGTCACAGTTAAAGAATCGCAAACAAAAACGAGACAAGACCCTTCAAGAATATGAAGTAGATATTGCTAGGTTGGTGCGATTTGCCTACCCATCAGCTCCGGAAAACATGATGGAATGTTTAGCAGTCCAAACATTTGTTGATGGACTCCGTGACCACGAGATGCAGAAAACACTTCGCTTAGCCCGCCATAAAACATTGGTCGATGTCTTGTCTGCTGCTTTAGAGTATGAGGCAGCTAAGCAGGCTTCTGGAGGATACAGTAAAGTGAGAACTGTAAAAGAAGAAAACGTAGAAGATAAACTCGACCAACTAGTCAACATAATGAAGACCTTTACTGATAAGAAGATGAAGACAAAGACCATCAGATGCTGGAATTGTGGTGAACTGGGGCATGTACGCAGTTCGTGCAAACGCCCTAGGGTCCCAACAACTGAAGACAGCACGCCGCAGGAAAACTAGAGCGGGTCGGCCTAGAGGGGGTAGCTTCGACCCGAAACCGTTCCAAACACCCTCTCATACTGATAGCCTCTTTGAAATGTCGCGATGATAGTGTATACGTAGACGGCGAAGTAAATGGTAAAAAGTATACACTGTTGGTGGATACTGGAGCAACTAGGACCATTATACGACCAACAACCATAAAGAACTGTAAGAGACTTCTACCAACAAGATTGCGACTGCGAACTGCCACAGGTGAAAGTGCCAACATCCATGGGGAAATCCAGGTTCAATTGGGAATTGGTACACAAAAGTTCACTCACACTGTTATTGTCGCTAATATCGAAGAAGATGTTATTCTTGGAATGGATGTAATGAACTTACATGGTTTCCAGTTGGCCTTTAAAAACAGAGTGATCAAAGTTGGTGCCGAAGAGGTATTCCTACATCCATATGGGGACAGTACCGTGCCAGTTGCTGTACAGGAGGATACGGTGATACCCGGTAGAAGTGAAACCGTTATAGTAGCACGGCTTCAAGAAACTATGGAAGAAGGTAACACCTGTCATGATGGAACCTTGGAACCACGATGAAGAGGTTGGACGAGGCATTCTGATCGGAAAGGAGTTGGTCACGACTGCAAAAGAAATTCCAGTTCGTCTCATAAACGTTGATGATCACCCGATTACCATCAAGAGACCAGAATCGGAACTTGTGTACCAGTAACGTCCATAATTCGTCAGACAACAACTTCTGATAATTCCAACGACAAATTCGAGCAAATGATTGCAGTTGCTGGTCAATCTCTGAATCAATCAGAGAAGAAGAAAATAAAGGAATTTCTTCGACGATATCGTGACATTTTTGTACCAAAAGGAGGAAAAACAGGAAGAACTTCTGTTGTAAAACACAAAATTGACACTGGTGACGCCAGGCCGATTCGTTAATCGGCTCGAAGATTACCAAAGGCCAAGAGAGAGGAAGCTGAAAGGATTGTTCAGGAAATGAAGGAAGACAGGGTGATATAGCCTTCTACCAGCCCATGGGTCTCTCCGGTAGTCCTGGTTCAGAAAAAGGATGGAACTACGAGGTTCTGTGTGGATTACCGTCAGTTGAACAATGTTACCAAGAAAGACAGTTACCCTCTGCCTCGTATCGACGATACCTTGGACACATTGGCCGGAAGTAAACCTTAGACTTGAAATCTGGATACTGGCAGGTTAAATTAATTAAATAAAATTGACTAAAAATTTATATAATACATTCTGAGTACAACTTAGGATACCAGCCTATTCCAACAAAAGATATGTAATAAAATAAATGTAACGCAAATATTTTGTGAAAATACTGCTAAATAAAAATATGTAGGTATCCGCGCGCCGGCCAGCGGGTGATTTCTTAATAGCGGTGCCAGACTTACTGATTTTTTTTAGATGTAGGTACTAATTAAAACCGAAACCTACAGATTAACGTTTTGTATAATTTAATAAATAATAAGTACAAAATTATCAATGTGTAGCTGAACTATTTTAATCGTCGAATATCTCAGAATAAAGCTCTCTGGTAATTTTTGAATTGCTGATTAATTATTTATGGAATTTATTAATTTTCATTCATTATAAAATAAATAAATAAATAAATTATCGTACAGTTGGGTACTACGACAGCTACTACTACTTTTGTCATCATGTGTAACAAGGTATACGACATATTTCTAATTTTTTATTTTAATTTGAAATCCACCGATTTTTGATGATCAATTCACAGAGTGGCAACACTGTTTCTGATATAGAGATAGATTTGGCATTAGTCTTATCAGATAAAATCAATATTTAATAGGTCGGCAGTGCTTTTTACCATGGGAGATAGAAGAAGAGAAAAAACAAAAACATCAATAGTAGTTTGTGCAACACGAATGGATATGGACAATCCACTCGAGTTGTACAGTATATTTTTTCTACGACCCACTAATGAAAATCTACAAATATTAAAAATTATTTTGGGTGATTAAGATAAAATGTATACCTAATTTAAAAATAATATATGACTTTT